GAAAATGCAGTTTAGCAGTCCATTTCAGAACTTTTCAAAAGCAATTGCCAAGTAGAGGCAGGGCCTCATACTATAAAAAAGAGCTTATCCCCCAAAGATCCTTCCTCAAGGATCCAGGTTAGTAGCCTGAAATCAATTCAAGCAGCTGAAAGGATGAAAGGAGATTTCATGGTCCGTGGTGTCTGACTCCGAGTGCTCTGGTTGGGGGTTTTCTTTGGCCGTCTGACTAGAGGCAAAGATTAGTGACGCAGCGCTGGCTTTCAGTGATCTGTACTTCTGTGCTTTTTCTTGGAAGGAAGCCCGGGCTGTGGGAACCAGGGGGTCTTAAACGACTGCAGGTTGGGATGGACGGGGTTTACATAGCTACATTTGCACCAAGGCACCAAGATGAGCAGTATTTGCCTTTTGAGAAGGACGAGGTTATTTTTAAAAATTTTTAAAAATCATCACCGGAGGATATGTTTATCAATTTTAGAGAGAGGTAGGGGAGGGGAGGGGGAGAGAGAGAGAAAGATAGAGAGACAGACACGTGGGTGTCAGACAGAAAAATCAATGGGTTGCTTCCTGTACATGCCCCATCCAGGGATTGAACCTAGGTATGTGCCCTGACCAGGGATTAAACCCGCATACTTTTGGTACACAGGATGATGCTCTGAACAACTGAGCCACCAGCCAGGGTAAACATGATCAGGCTTTTCTTTCTTCTTAAAGCAAGGACAAGGGAAAGAGTAGCCTGTTTGGGAAGGCAAATCAGCTCATTTGTAGAGCCAGAGAAGACTAACTTTTCATCTGCTCTTTTCTTATGCCCTGGATCTGGTGGCTGGGTTTGAGGAAAGAAAGCATCGTCTTTTTTTCCTGAAGTTTTTCTACAGTCTAGTACACTAAAGGAACTCTTTTCAATACCATCCATAACTACAGTGCCCCTAGCTTTTAGCTCGGAATTCTGATGGTTTTTCTGATCAAGTCAGAGTAGTTAAAAAAATATATCACACACACAATCCTTCTGTAACTTTTTAGGGAATTGGGTACAAGAATTTTCTTCTTATAAACTCGATGGAGCCACAACACTTGTTTTATTTGGGGATAGGTTCCTTTTGAATACAAAAGGTAAAACACATCTCAAGATTTTTAAGACTTAATCCAGGGCCTGGCACATAATGGGACAGTGGTTCTCTGTGACCCCTGCATCTGCAGCATGAGCATCACTGGGACACTTGTTGGAAATGACAGCTAGAACCACTGCAGTAGGAGCTCAATAGCTGTTTGCTGGATCTAATGCCGATTTCTTAATTCTAAAGGAGAATGACACCATTAATACCGCGATGCAGGCAGTGGTTGCCATCTGTAGTGCACCTCAGAATAATCTGTTGAAGTGCGGAGTGCTGGCCCTGCCCCCAGCGTTTCTGATTCAGTACATCTGGGGTGGGAGTGAGAATGTACATTTCTAACAAGTTCCCAGGTAATGCTGACATTGCTGCTCTGGGGACCCCACTGTGAGAACCCCTGGTCTAAAATGGAGATTCTTAACTCTGGCTCAACACTAGAAACACCTGGAGTTGCTTTAAAATATAGAAAAGACTGGGCCAAACCCCAGATCAGATAAATCCAAAAATCTGTAGGTGGATGCGGGCATGGGAACCTTTAAAATTTCCCAGGTGATTCTTATGAGCAACCAGGTTTGACGTGCACTTTACGTCATCACAGAAGATGTGGTCCTCACACCTGGATGCCCATCAGAATCACCTGGAGGGCTGTAAAAACCCTGAAGTCTAGATGCCAGTACTTGGGGTTCCAATATAACTGGTTTGAGGTGCAAAAATTAAGATTTTTGAGAGCTTCCCAATTGATGCCAATATGTACCTAAAGTTAAGAAGCACTGCCCTAGAGATACCCTCCAGCTACAAGAATTTCATGATTTTAGTATAATCCTATACAAGGAACAGAACACTCAAGAAAAAAAACCAAACATTCCTATAGAGAAGAACTGATTTACTCCACAGTTTTTGTATGATTCCCAAGTTTATACTGAACTGATTTCCTTAGCAGTGCAAGTTGGTATATTTATAATAAATTAGCTAAATTTTTAATCAAAGACTTATCCCAAATGCCCATAACATCTACTTACTTTCAAATACAATTTTGTTTGGGCCACATCCCAGACCAAAGGGAATATGAATAACTAACTGCATCATCCTTTCAACTGACTCACACATTTTCTTGCAAGTTAGTGTTTATCTCTATTATAGTAAAATGTATGGGGGGAAAAGAGACAATCAAAGGACTCTGGCCCTGTCACTATAACATGTTTACTTGTCTGGTTTGGTTGATCAGTTATACATTTATATAGCATTAAGGATATGGTACATAGGTAGAGCACGACCACACAGAAATGACAGCAGCCAGAGGAGCCCCTGTCAGAGGAGCCACTTTTTCCTCAGTGGACTTGATTCAGGGAGGCATCCACAAAGCCTTAGCGGTCCCGACGCTAGCCTGTGAGACAGACCCCTTCTAGAGTGGAAGAGGGTAAGGGGTCAAGTGATGTTTGTCAGACTAACCAAAGACTTGCGAATATTTACAAGATACACATTCAAATTATTTATACCTGTGGAAAACTGCCTTTGTGTTACAGTAAAGCATGTCCTCCCTCCATTAGCTCCACAATAGCTGCCAAACAGCTGTGTGATACTGAGGAAACTCTTTAACTTCTCATGCCTTCAATTTCTCATTTGTCATGTAATGTTTATCTTGCAGGATAAGATATAGATATCTTAAGGAATGGATACGGTGCCATTGTCTTAGTCTTTCTGAGTGGCTCTAACACAATATGAGAGACTGGTTGGCTTAAACAACACACATGTATTTGTCACAGTCCTGGATACTGGGAATTCTAAAATCAAAGCACGGGCAGACTTGGTGTCTGGTGAGGATAAGGATTGTGGTTCTTCTCACTGTGTCTTCAGAGGGAAGAAAGGGAGAGGAAGCTCTCATTTACAAGGACACTAAATCCCATTTATGAAAGCTCTACTTTCATGATCTAATCACTTCCCAAAGGCCCTACCTTCACATACTACCACACTGGGGATTAGGTTTCAAAACTCGAGTTTTTAATTTTGGGGGGTGTGTGGTGGGGGGGACACAAACATTCAGTCTACATGCTAAACAAGCAAAGCATTTAACTAGGTATCTGATACATACTGGGAATTCAGAAAGAGTAATCCTCTCATTTTCCTCTGTTCTAATATTATTATGAGCTTCGCTTATGTCACTCTCTCCTTTGTCTTTTATCATCACCATAATCATCAACAACCCAGATGTCTTCTCTCTTCCTTTCCTTCTCTCTCCCAAATCCCTATTTATTGAGCTGCAGCATCATGGCCAATGTGCTAGGTGCTTGGGGTTACAGAAATAGTAAACTAAAGTCTCTGTCCTGTACATACTCAGTCTAGTGAGGAAGCAAACAAATAAACATGTCAATATTATACCTAAAGTAAGAAAAGTGAAGACACTGGAGTTAGAATGTGGCATCCTTGCTTTGTGCAGAGCTCATAAAAATATATAAGGTCTAAGAGGATAATACGTGACTCCTGCCCACAAGATGTTGATACTTGAGGTAGATTCATTCCTCCTGACAATACATTTTTCCGACCCAATAGTGTTCCATGCGTAATTATGGAGTGTCTATTACCCTATGCAAGAGTGACTGTGAAGTCAGTTGGGTTGAACTAGACAAGACCACACTGAGTCCCCTACTGCCTCCTGTCCACCCCCTGGGAAAAGTTTGGGGTTGAATGGGTATCACAAAGAGGCTGTTTAAGTATATAAATAAAACAGTGAAAAGTGATGGTTACAATAGCAAAATAAATTGTTTGGATCATAATTTCTGTACTCCAGATACATATGTGGTGTCATTAAACCATGTAAATTTATCAACACATTCTGTTTGGACTGTATGGTGGGAATAGCAGAAATCTGAACCTTACTTGCAACAGCAGTGAGAGAACTGCTAATTGAAAGATGCTTTTCAGTGAGGGATAGAAAAAGGCCAGACTAGATGTCCCCCCCCGCCCCCCCCTAGAATCCAGTTTATTCTCAGCCTCAGAAGCAGCTCCCATTCATAGCTTTAGAGAGAAGGTGCCTGCGGTGGGAAGGTGATGTATCAGATGATTCAGGACTAGAGGCTGGAATATACCTTCAAGCCTGTTCTTCAAGGATAGGAGGGAAGAGAAAAGGAGACGCTTCTTTAGTTGAGAGAGGAAGAGAAAAAAAGGTTTTTCAAGGTATTCAACAACTGTATCTTCCTGCCACCACCATCCCTTCAAACCCCTGCATCTCTGCTTACAGTGATTCCCATTTGTCTATGTGCTTTCAACGAAGAAAGTCGGTGCACAAGGACAGAAACGAGAGCGACTGAAAATAGGGGTATGACTTGTTGAGCATACAAATCACATCCCCCCATAATCTCCAAGGGATGGGGGGGATCCCTCTTACTCTCTCCTCGAAGCTTGTGTTCTGCATTACGGAGAGGAGGCTGAGGCCGGCCTGCAGGTAGGAAAGTTTTCTCACAGGGAATGCTGGATCCATTGAGCTCCGACCGAGACCGAGGTCGTCCTCCGTGCTCCTCTCTGGGCCAAGGGCCCTACACCCCGAGACGCGTCTGTTTCTTTAAATTCCAGCTGCGCGGTTGGGAAACAGCGCCACTCGCCGCCCGAGCCGGCTGGGGGCTGCGAGCTCGCTCGCGCTCCCGCTCCCGGCTGCGCGCCGGGGAGGGCTCGCTCGGTCCGCGAGCTGCTCGGCGGCGGCGGCGGCGGCGGCAGCGGCGCGGGGCGGGAGGCGCAGCCCGGGAGAGGAGAGAAGACAGAGCAAATCGGGCCGAGAAAGGCGCCGAGCCCGGTCCCGCGCCCTCGCTCCGCGGTCACAGCAGTTTTCTTCAGGGTGCCGAGGATGTGCCTGGCTTCTGTGTGTGTTTTTTGTCCCTCCACCTCTTTAAGACGATTTCCATAGTAACCTGATCAAGTGGCTCTGTATCGAAAACCTGAGGATCTCCGCGGCCCGCCGGCTTGACCCTAGTCAGGTAAGGCTGCGAGCTCCTTCTTGTCCATTGCAAACCGCTGCGCTCCTTCCAAACTTCCTTTTGTGGAAAATCGCCCAGCCCAACGCAACCCGGGGTATTTGCAACAGCGTGTCCCTTCCTAGGCGCCTGCCACGGGTCCTCTGCCCTGCTGGTCCCCCAGGACCTATGATCACATTATTAATTTTTTTTTTACCCACCCCCTTTTGATTTCCCCATCAATGCGCTGTTCTCGGCTCCCCCCCCCCGCCCCAAGACTGGTGATGGGGGCGCTGGGAGAAGTCGGGGGCGAGGTTGGGTGGCGAACGCGGTCCAGGGAGTGGCGGGCTCGTATGGACTGGCTGCGGTGGTTTACTTTGGGCATCTCGGTGTTGCCTGAGCCTGGCTGGGGTATCCGGGAGGGATGTCAGCACCGGGGCGGCGGAGCCCCGAGCCCCAGATCTCCAGACGAGCGAGCGAGAGACGCGGGCTTGGGGCTGATGGAGCGCTCGGCTGGGTGGCTGGCGAGCGTCCATACATCATAGCTTTTCTGCCTACTCCCCCGCCCCTCTCTGGGTTTCTCTCTTTCTCGTTTCCCGTTCTCATTTCTTTCTTCCTTTCCTCATCACCAGCTCCATTCTGTGTCCTCCCTTCTCTTTTTCCTCCCCTCGTTTCCTTTTAAGAGAAAGGGTAATCGTTTATAACCCGTTCGTTCTGCCAACATGGGAAGAGCTGTGAAACCCGCAGCGTGGCTGCCTCAAACTGGTCGCTTTCAGACTCTCTCCTCATCCATCAACATATTTGTTTCCTGAGTCTATTGATCTCCCTCGATTCTGCAGAAATGCATTCTAAGCTGGGCGTCTGTGTGTCAGAACCCTCGTTCTGCAGCTTGCTTCAGTGCTTCAAGTATTGTAAGGGTTGCATATGTTTTAGAGGGCTGCGTATGTTTTAAATGCCTATCACTCATGAGTATTAAGAGAAATCCAGCTTAAAAAATCTAGTCTAATTATGGAGAAAGTTCCCTCTTAAATTATTGATGTACTTTTTGAAATTTAATTTTAGGGGACTTGGGAGACAGCCTCCCCTCCAGTTTATGAGGAACGTGCAACTTCTCCCCTTAATTATCTCCTCTTTGAACCTCATTCAGTTTTGCACTTCCCAGTCATTGGAATAAGTAGATCATAATTAAGGTTCAGTGGCTTGCTTCCCAAAGTCCAGGCTGGCTGCAGAGGCAATCTCTGGTAGAAGGTGCTTCGAGAGAACTATAGGGGCCAGACAAAACTGCCAAAGAATAGAAAAAGCAGAGCAACTCTTGTGTGAAATACACAACTAGATTCAGACTTTAGTACTGAAGACATGAAAATGCAATAATACCAGACTTTTGTTCTTGGTTCTTAGCCTATGTGTAACTATACTAGGTAGGTATATGTTAATACTTATATAAAAAAACCTGAACCACTCTATTAAAACAGGACCCATTCCACCTTGTTTATGTTGAGATGCTTCCCCACTCCTTATTTTTCTTTGAAACATGTCTGTATTATGTGAAAACAAAGGGGAAAAAATAGAGGATGACTTGTATTTAACCACAAATAGGATTTGTATGTATTTTTGTTTGTTTGTTTGTTTCTCAAAATATCTAGTTGTTATGCTCTCAAGTTTTCTTGAGGCCAAAATATTTCATGGGTGAAAACAATAGTAATCAATGATTTCTCTCTGCTCTCCATCAGTGGTGTACACAGTGTATATAGAAACAGGTCTCAGATTTAGAGAGCCTCCTTTCCTTTGTCTGCACATTTGTTTTTCCATTCAACTATTAGTATAGAATAAAGAATCTTGGAGCACAGAATGAATCAGGAAGAAGAGAAACTACTGAAATAATGGAAAATGTACCCAAACCAAGGAAAGATAATTACTGCTATGCTCTTCCACACTATTGTATTTGTTCTTAGCCAATTAAATTGTAGGTTTTAAATACATTTTCATCTTCTTAGTCCCACACCTATTTCTTTTTATACTGGAAGTTGAATTTGTCTAGTTCAGATAAATATTTATAAAAGATGTAAAATTCCCTTGTCAGTAAAATCCAAAAAACAAGGTTTTTCTTCTAACATTTCCTTCTTTCTTCTAGTGAACAGTGATAGTAGTAGTGGTCCCACATTATTGTTTTTACGCAACTTCTGATTTTGGTGTTTCCTTGTTGTGTGGGTTTCTCCTGACAAATTTACCAGATGCTCTTGGCAGGCTGCATGGGACTTGAATACACAATTGATTGTAGATACAGTAAAATGTTCATTTTTCTTGTTCTTGGTTTAAGAGGTGTCATGCCCTCCTGGACATTGAATATTGTGGTGTGACTGCTCCTTTTTGTGTGTGCATATATGTAAGAATTTAACATCAAGTCTATTCTGACTAAACCTTGTATGATTTGAGGTTAAAAGGTATATTAGTGACAAGCCATAAATTACTTTCTGATTTACAGTACATTGATCCTGTAACTGTTTTTCCCCCCTTGTGATTGCATCTGTGTATGGATCATTTAATGAAAGGCTGGTAATGATGAGTTATCTACTTTATAAAAGGAAAAAAAAATCCACAAGTTTAATTACCTCAAGCACTCATTTTCATGCAGCAGGAATTAACAAATGCTTTTGATCTGATATTTTAATAGACTGTATTGCTGAGCACTGCTAATTACCAAGAATGTATTTTGTTAATTCTGAAATTGGTCTAAGATAAGATCTCTCCAAGTTGTCTGGAGGGCTCCAAGTGCTGCATCCTCGTAACCCATGGCAACAGGAAACAGGTTTTCTCGGGTGCAAGCTCAAGTGTGGACACAGATCCACACTTTGCGATCATTCAGGGACTCGATGTGCAAGTGTGCTGGCTCTTTTGCTAACACAGATTGATGCTAACTCCTTGACTTTTGTCAGACCCATGAATCCCAGGCCTAGTTTTCCCTTCAGCTCCTCATGTACTTAATTAAGAGTTACGAAATTCTCAGAAAACACATAAGTTAATGTTACTTTTTTAAAAACAGAAAATAATTCATAAGGAAGTGTGCCTATGCCTCTGACTTTGGGTATACTTGGGATAATTAGGGTGATAACATCACCAGATGGAACACAAGAGACTGTCAACTTTAGAAATGGTGGGAGTCAGGGAGCAGTGTTTGGAAGTAGGAGTCAAGAAGTCAAGGTTAAATTCCCACTTTTCACTGCATCACAGAGTTATTCTTGTGGTGGTCTCCTTACTACAAATGTCACTTAGTTGTGTTTTCTCCAGAAGAAAAATGGACATGGTAACCTTTTCCTGTTTTGAATTCTCAAGTGTATATGAATGTATGACATAATCACCTATATACACAGGTTTACATAGGAAGCAGTGGTAGATTCTGAAATACACACAGACACATACACATTGAGAGGCAATGGACAAGTCTTCTTTATAGAGAAAGGAAATATTTTCTTCTACCACTGACAGATGGGTAGTGATGCTGGATATTTCCTTCCATTCATGAAAAGGTGAACATATCATTCTCCGGGAATAGGTAGTAGATGCTCAGTGACTAAACACGTCACATAATATGCAGAACTGAATGCAGAACTGCCAGCAGGTATCACCCTTTTACTTCACTTGAATGCAAGTGAGGGATAAATTACTCACCCCTTTTTTTTAAACCATTAAAGTCAGTTTCTTCCCTTTCCCCCATTCTGTAAGGAAAAGTAATTTTCTGTAGGGTTAAGTGGACCACAGGGTAGGAAAAATAACCTGGGTGATCCTTCTACTCAGACCTCATTTTTCCTCCCAAGTCTGACCCTCAGCAATAATGTCCAAGAGGAGCCTCTGATGGTGCTGTTTCCGCAGGTAATCATACTTCTCCGTCCCGGGTGAAGTCCAGGACAAGCACTGCAGTAGCATAGATTCTGAATTTAAAGCATCATGTAAGCTGGTTATGTAACTCAATGGTCATGTAAAAAAAAAAAAGAAAGAAAAAAAGAAAGAAGAAAAAGAAAAGGAAAAGCTCCAGGTCTTTACATTATATGTATTTACTATTTTCTTGTTATAAAATGATTTTACAGTGTTCAGACAAAATAAGCCTGGTGCCGGTAATGATTTAAAAGCAGCTTTTTTCTGTCATTAGATTTTACAAGGTTTGCACAATGGTACTTTTTGTTAATCTATGCAACATTTTCATAAAAAGGATAGCAGTTGGGACAGTTGCTAGTTGTGCTTGCTTGGGTACTTTCTTAAGCTAATGGGGACCTAGAGATTTCTAGATCTGAAAACACTGCCAGTGACATACAGACGGTTTTCTTGAGAACAGAAGGGGAAGTCAGTATTTGGACAAGAAGTGATTTATAACAGTTCAGGTACAGTCAGGAAGATTTGAAACAAACTTTTGTGTTTCTTTCATCTTGCTTTGCATATATTTATATGTGGTCCATTTGTATATAGAACTGTAGGCCTCGTATCCACCTATCCACCTGTGTATTTAGGTGTTTTCTTTACTGGGGAGTGTTGTTTAGGTCCCCAACTTTACTTGGTGGCTTTTGGTAGGTTTGTAGGCATGACACTGAGAAAGAAATGGTACCTTTTATGTGATAATGTTGTAAATACAATTATGATCACAAAGTCAGACCATTGGGAGTTTTTTTCCCAGTCAAAATAAGCATTTATATTATTGAACATCTTCTTGTGCTGCTTTATCAAATAACATGGCTGTCTGGTTTTATTGATCCTTTTAAAGGTAGTATTGTGCAGTACTTAAAGACTAATCTGGAGTGGACTGCCTGAGTTTGAATCCCAGCTCTGCCAATTAAGTATGTTGGTTACGTTTGGTAACTTTCTTGATATGAGTCCCATTTCTCCCATGTTTTACATAGTTGTTGAGAAGGATTTCTGTGAAGGTTAAAGAAGAGAATATATTAATATGATATTTAAGAGTGGTCCTGCCATATGGTAAATATTAATTGCATATTCACTACTATTATTATTGCTCTTGCTGCTGCTGTTGTTGAAAT